CCACAACAACAGCAAAAAACAACAACAACAACAAACAAACAAAAGAACAAGCAAACGAACAAAAGAACGAACGAACAAACAAATAAACAAACAAACAACAAAACAATATAAAAGAAAAGAAAACAAAAAATAGATGTTCGATCCTTTCACTTTCGCTGGTTTTGATTCTCATTATATTAAGATGCGTGCTTTCGTCAATTATTTTTTTCCTATTTATAAAAAGTTCCCACCTCATTTGTTTTTCTAGCCGACTGTGTGGAGCCAACAGATTCTGTTCTGAAGGTATACATATTGCCGTGAGGTCCAGTTACTTTGTTGAATTTTTTCGTATTGTCTAACTAGACACTCTATTTTCCTTATTAAAACAATTTGAAGTAAACTAAAAAAAAAAAACAACCTAAGTCATGACGGTATAATTTGTTTCCCATCTCAGGTTCCAAAGAGTTCATCTCTCTACCCAGCGCTCATTCGGAGACTTGCGTTGTACCGTCGAGTCTGGAGAGACAATTCGGCTCATGGCCATGCGAAACGACTTCCTATAACCTCGCCTCAATCTCACCACCTGAGCCGGTTGCCTTCAGCTCCAATATGCTTGCCTTCTCCTCATACCCGACGACGACAACAATGCATTCTTTCGACAGCTCTTTTAATAACCCTAACCCTTCCGTGGCTGACACTGCCCCTCCCTTGCCACCAAGACGGTCCGCTCAAGCCTCTCAAACTCGAGCGTATGATGCTGGCAGGCAAAGCTGGGAACATGAAGAGAAACAAGAGACTGGGTCTGGTTCATCTTTGACTTCGATGTTGTCCACGGTCCCCGTCAAGTGGGGTCGGCCTTCGAATGACTTTGATAATCAGCACAATAACTTTTCAGTGGCCTCAGAACATGGCAGCGAGAACTGTAAGTTCAAGCCGAACATCCCAGTTGAAATTGACTTTGTTGATGAACAGGAAACACTGAAAATCCCACCAAATAACCGCACCGGAACGCGTGTACCTTCAGAACAGAGTTCGTTGGTTCCACTGCTGCCCCAAACTCAAAAGACCTTTGCCTTGGTAAACGTTACTTCGAATCCGAAACCTGATTTTAAAAAGACAGTGCCCACTAAGCCGAGTTCAAGCAACACCATTCAAGCAAAACAGCAGCTTCGAATTCCCAGGATCCTGCAAAGTGGAACTGATTTCGGAAATACCGTAACCTCACAGATAAATGAACAGGACTTTATTCTCAAGGACTGTGATGTTTTTCAATGGGTTCAGACCAGTTCGGACTATACAAACACGCTTCTTGCCGATCAAGTGGCACTGATAGATTGTGGTACTCAACCACATCACCTTAACTTGACAGCAGTTCCATCAAACAGCCCCAGTGGTTATACACGTGGACAAGACTCGTCTGACTCCTTTGTTCCTCTAGAGCAAACTCTTTTGTTGACGCGAGAACAACTCAGACACACGGAAAGAGAACTGCTGAACACACAACTTAGACTTGGAGATGCGGAAGCGTCAAAGCTCAGGCTCCAGCAAGATCTCCAAGTCAGCCAGACAGAGACTTCCATATTGAAGTCCGAAGTCGTCAAACTTCGCAGCTTGATCCAAAGTTTGACCAGAAACTCGGGTCAGCTCGGAGAGGACTTTCAGGCAGTTCTCAGCCCTACCCAAACACTTGGACATTCTGGAGCAGTCACCTCTTGCTTAACACTGACACATGCTTCGAGCGACTCACAGTTTGTGGCTCGCGGGCAGGATAGTTCTTGAGGCGTCTGTGGTGTAATTGGTACGCTCTTCGTTGTTCCAATCAGAAGACACGAATTTGATCACCTGGGGAACTTACGATATTTGGTGTTGATTTCCACGCAGCTTAAACAGGTATAGCAAAATGTTTCATCTTCTAGATCATTGCATCATAACACTACGTTTGCTTTTGCATTTGTTTGAGTTCTTACTAGATTTAAACCGGCATCTGCGGTGTAGCGGTTAGGCGCTTCGCTGTTGCACGCAGGAGAGTCGAGTATTTTTTTTTTGGTTCACAAAATATTATTTAATGAGCACGGAAAAGAGCTATGTTAGACAGTACTTGTGCACGAGTGGGGGAGTTGCTCCACCTGCTTATTTGTATCCTCGAACCTTCATGTGGTTCTTTTGTACTTGTCAGCATCTCAAGACTATTTATTTTGTCCGAAAGATGCCATTTAGTTAGTTTGACATTCCTATGAGAGACACAAGTGTTTCTTTTTTTATATTACTATTATACGAATTATAAGCATACCTTTTGTGTTGACTGCAGGCAACAACATTCATAACTGAACAACCCTCCTCGTCCAAAAACAGCAACAAAAAAACAACAAAAAAAACAACAAACAAATGAAACAACAACACAAGAACAACGAATAAATGAAAGAAAAAAACAAACTTACTGGGCGTTTTGGCCGCACCTTTACCAGAAAGAAAGAAAATTACAAAGGATAGTTGTAGTGGGCTGATAAAAAAAAAAAAGCAAAAATCGAAAATAACTATAAGCGAGATAGTTCCCAGATATTATATTCTTGCTGTTACATAGTGTGGTTAAGCCTTTCATACGCTAACCTTAACAACATTCTGTGATAATACGAATCATCATCATCATCATCATCACCATCATCATCATCATCATCATCATCATCAT